CACACAAACCTGGGGCAATACAAGGCAAGTAAGTCCCTGATGGACTGGCCCTATGAGCCATTAGGGACACTTGCTATCACTGACTGAGGTCCCTGTGAACATCAGGAACAAAAGGTAACTGAGAAATTAGAAGCATTACCAAGGGAATTGGGCATACAAGTAGGGTTTGATGCCCAGTTTACAAGACCATATAGGACCATATTCACAGAAAAGCCAAGCAAGGGACCTTAGGACTGTTACGGAGTTTTAGAGGGTTTGCTGCGCCCCATGGTGGGTCTTGAGCTTCATGAGGTGGGAGGCTCTGGCAGATCTGAACGGCTGAAACCAGCACGTAGATCAAGTTCACAATGTGCTAAAGCAATCAAAAGGGGATGAGAGGGTGGCAAAGTGGGTCTGTCTGGCTCATTCTTAGGCAAATGTGACGACATTCTAGAGCCAGAGCTCCTAGAGAAAACATTGACAGGAAGCCAGATTCAGTGCTTGTAAGCCTTCACAGGGCTTTGAAGCTTAAGCAACAGTTCACCAAAGCGCTGACAGGAGTGAATGACAAAGTGGTGCAGGTGGAAAGGACTAAGCTTGTCCTAGGGTCACACAGTTTTCCCCATCCCCAGAGCATGCTGTGTAAGATTAAGCTTGTCTTAGGGGTACACAGTTATCCCCACCCACCAGAGTATGCTGTGTGTGTTTCCCTCTTCCCAAAAGCTTTCCGAGGGTGGAGACTGTTGCCTCAGCCCAGGGCCCTTTCAGCAGTCAGGTATAACCAATGGAGAGCAATGACCACAGTGCTGGCCCCAAACCTGTCAGAACCAGAGTTAATGCCAACAGAAGACATGGAAACAGCACCTCAAGATGAGGGAGCAGAAGGTTCATGAAAAATGACTGTGGGTTATGAAGGGTAAATGGGGCATTCATTCTGTGGTAGCCAACTCTGCTCTTTTGACTAAGTGACTAGTGGCGGTGATGAGCTCATTTTGTGTGGTATTAGACCTTGCTAAGATTTCTCTTTTAGCATCCCCTTAGCCATCTGAGAATAATTGACATGTCTTTCCAGATCTGTAAAAAAGTTTAATTATGTAATGCTGTCCCCTGAGCATCTTACATATTTGGGAAAGCATCTGGACAGACACTAACATTAGCTGTTAAGGAGTTTAATTAAACAAAGACATCTTGGGTGAGTGTGAAAGGTACTCCCAGAAGCCATAAAGATGTTGAATGAAGACACCAGTGCCCATGGTAGTCTACCACCCTATGAATCTTGCCAGGGAATTCCCTGAGGCCCCACCCACCCATAAGGGCTACTGCTCCTGCTTCTGGTTGCAGGCCAGACCTAGAAGATAAGTCCGTGTGGCTGATGACACTGCATCCTTTTGCTGCAGGACGTAGAGAAATCTAGGACTGAGCTGGAAGCTCTTTCTCCTCTGGCTGGCTTTTATAGTGCCAGGAGGTACTATACAGGCTACCGCAGACAGGATTTTCCCCAAGCTATGGACCCTGCATACCATCTGACCAACTTGCCGGGTAAGATATGCCTGCCAGAATAGTAGCAGCACAACCATTGTGGGTGCAGACAACTGCTTTCTTCTTGTATTTTGGGCACAAGACACAGGAAGTAACCCACATTTGGTACTGTAGACCAGGACAAAGACCTGCAGCTGGAAAGGCAGCCTCTGGTATTGTTTTATTAAACAGATATAATATGCCTGTTAAACTGCCTTCTAAACATTTGTGTTCATGCCTACAAACTATTGGTGTTGTGACGTCTTGGTCATGAAGAGAAACTTTTTTGTAGTGGATGGTGGTTACTGCAGAGGTTTATAACTGGTCAAGAATAAGTGACTTTTGCTACGGCTTAGCAGCCCAATGCTCATCCATAAATGGAAGAAAATAAGCAGACATTTATATCACCCCCAGGCTCAGGGAGCATCTCAGAAGAGGAGGTAGAAAGAATGTAAGAGCTAGAAGATGGAGCGCAGTCTAGCTGTTTCTCCCAAACTGAAGCATTCCCTACTGGAGGAAGGAGGGAGGCCAATGGGACCTAGGAAGCTAACAAAATTTCAAGACTCAGGAAGCTCAGAAAGTTATAAGACTCAAGACTCCTCCCCAAGGTCATATAAGCAACAAACAATTGCTGGGAAGGAAGAGACTCTCTGGTAGAGCATCTTACAAGTCAGACAGAGAGATCCAGGGAGGTAGTTTCATGAGTCATCTTGAGGTGGGCTTTTTGGTCCATATCTGAGTTACTCATGTTCTTGTAAGTAGTCTCAGTAAACTTACTGATTCACCAAACTAGACTTAGGTAGAATGGTTTCTTTGGTCTGTCACTGTTGCCCTATCTGGGGGCGAATAGTTGTTTGTTCTCTTCTCCCCAAGAAAAGTCAAGGACCGTACAGGAAACCATTCCATCATCGGAGCTGAAGGGAGTTATCTCAAGTGAAATAAGTCAAGCACAGGAACTCAAATTCTGTGTGTTCTTACTTATATGAAGGAGTCAAAAAGTTGATCTCATAATAGTAAAGAATAGAGCTAGGTACAGTGATGAAGGCAGGAGCAAAAGGAGCTCTGTGAGTTCAAGGCCAGCCTGGTCTACAGAGCGACTTTCAGGCTGGCTAGGGCTACATAGTGAGACCTTGTCTCAAAACAAAGGACAGTAGCAAATAAAATAATGGTTGCTTAGGAAAGGGTGGAGGTAAAGAGGGAACAATTAATGTGTATAAAGGTGTGATTGGGCAAGAGGAATCATCTTTAATATTCTGTAGCAGAGCAGGAAAATTACAGTCGTCAATTAACTGGATATTGCAAAGTCATAGAGAAGATTTTGCAACTTGTCCTTATTTTGCTGTGCACATACCTGATGACTAAAAGTGCTGTGTCTCGTGCTCACCAAATAACCATGTGTTGTCCTTAGACGAATGTCTAGTAAGATACTTGCCCATTTTCTAAAAAAATTTATTCTTATTTTTAATTATGTGTGTGTGTGTGTGTGTGTGGATATGTGCATGTCTGTGCAGGTGCCTAAGAAGGCCAGAAGCTTCTGCTTTCCCTGGAGTTGGAGTTAAAGGCAGTGATGTGTTGCTTGACATGGAAGCTGGGAATCAAACTCAAGAGCAGTACCTGCCCTTAACCACTGAGCCATCTCTCCAGCCCCACTCATCCATTTTAAATTGAGTAATTTGTCATTTTGTTATTGAGTTATAAATCCTTTGTATAGTCTAGATACAGCCCTCTTCTGAGGTACATGATTTGTGAGTATTTTCTCCTGTAACTGTCCTTTGAACACATTTGTGTTAGTGCTGTTGGTGTCCAACTTACTTGCTTTATTTCTTTACTGTTTATACTTTAGGGTTATTTCTAAGAATCTCTTACCAAACCAAAGATTAAGAAGATTTGCTATCTCATTTTCTTAAAAGAGTTTTATGATTTTAGCTTCAACATTTAGGTCTCCTTTTTTTTCTCTCTCTTGTTTTGGATTGGGCCCTAGCTGGCCTGGAATTCATGATATAGACCAGGCCGGCCTTGAACTCATAGAGATCCACCTGCCTCTGCCTCCTGAAAGCTGGGATTAAAGACGTGCACCACCATGCATACAGCGTCTTGGTCTACTTCACGTTCACATTGTGTGTGGATCCAACTTCATTCTTGTGCTTGTGACTCATTCACTTTTAACTTGCACAAATTGTTCTCATGCCACTGATTTTTCCCTTTGTGGGAGAAAAACAGGTTGGACTTTCGAAATTCAGACTGTTCCTGGAACTGCCTTCTGATCCAAACCTCCTCAGCTCTCCATAAAGCTGGAGAACCCACAACTGAGAATCCCCAACTCTAAAGATGGAGGCTTTTGTTTTCACTGTAACCATCATCATTTTGACAATTAAAGCTCGTTCCTTTCCTTGGGGACATTCAAAGCACTAAAATACTGACCTGACGGCTTTCTCCTTCCTTTATCTAGTTGCCAGTAGATACTGAAATGATTTGCCAGGCAGGCAGTGGAAAGGAGAATTATCACCCTATAAACACATTCATATAAACACATAAAAATCACCTGTATGAACACAAAATAGGATGCAGTCCTTTAGCCCTGTCCTTTATCCTTTCTGAATTCTGCCAGGGCCCCAGGATGGTGAAAAATATTTCTTCAAGAGGTTCTCAACTCAGCAACTTCTCTCTTCCGAATGGCCTCCTCTCAGGTTGCCAGTTCTATAAATGCATCCAGTGTCCTGTTTTGCTGTGGGTGTCTCTTTATCAGCCCTGCTTTGGTCCAGATATGCTTCCTGATAAGGACTGACTAGTAAATTTCCTTTTATCTTCCTCTCTAATCTCTTAGTTTGCCATTATACTAACAGATTATGACATTACACAGCTCATAACAGAGAAAGCCAAGGACAATTCTTGGGAAAGGTGGTGCTGTGAAAGGGGAAATCGGGGGGAAACAGTCCAGGGACACCTGTGCTGCAGCCAGCAGTGCCCCAGCATCCCTCTGGAGAGGAACCCCCTGAGTTCCATGTACTCAACTAGGCTGACCCATCCCTCACCCTGTCCCTCCCTATGGGGCGGGGTCCAATATCTTCAAGAAGGCTTCAGGGGTCAGTGGCCAGGAACAAAGGCTGAGAGCTGAGGAGCGCCAGAGCAGAGCACACAGGTGCGTTCTGATGGGACACCAAGCGAGCTTGCAAGGAAAGGGTGAGCTTAAGGGGGAAAGGCATGGTGTGACAGGCAGGAGGAAGGAAGACATGGGGAGAAGGGTTGCGAAGTGGGAGAGCCCAGACTGAGTGGCAGAAGGCCACTTCGGGAGCTCTGGGGTGAGAGAAGAGGGCTCTGCAAGGAGGTCGCTGGTAAGGAGCCGGCTTTCCTCCTTTCTACAGTGGCTGCCAAGTTCTCCCTTCCCCCGGAAGTGGGAGAGCCCAGACTGAGTGGCAGAAGGCCACTTCAGGAGCTCTGGGGTGAGAGAAGAGGGCTCTGCAAGGAGGTCGCTGGCAGGGAGCCGGCTTTCCTCCTTTCTACAGTGGCTGCCAAGTTCTCCCTTCCCCCTCTGTGGTCTGCTGTCGCTGTGTCCCACCCCATGCTGCTCCTGTGACTTCAGCTCAGATGATTCGAAATGTCTCTTCTGCATCTCCTTCCTACTTGCCAAAGCAAAAAGGTATTTGGAGACAGATTGTAAAGAAAGGCGCTAGTAAAGAGCATGGATGCACTGGAAATGCATGCTGCCTACTGGAGCCTTCCAGCCCCGCCTTCTGGAAAGACAGTGGAAGTTCAGTGGTTGGTAGAGGTTGAAGTGCAGGGAGGGGAGAGCAAGAAAGATCAGAGGATTTGGGGATGGTGAGAACTCTCCCTGACACCACAGTGGTGGGTGCCTGTCATTACACACTTGTCATGATTCTCTGGATGCACAGGAAGTCTGAACCCTGGCACACACCGTGGGCTCCGGGTTGTAAAGGGGTGCCCTTGTGGCTCAGCAGTTGTCTCACATGGACCATGCTGGTGGGTGCTGATAGTGGAGGAAGCTCGGGGTGTGTGGTAGGGGGGACATGTGACAGCTTTATACCGCCTGTTCAAAGTTGCTATGAAGCTAAAACTCTCTAAAAGATAAAGTCTAGGAGTGAGGCTTCTAATCAGAGGACCAGCAGAACACTTGACTAGGACTCCAGGTTCAGTCTGAGACTTCTGGTGCTAGTGACAGGTGCAAGGCAGCTCATCACAGAGACATGTCACAGGGAAGGGCTTCCCACTGAGGCCCAGCAGCATCAGGGTCAGGTCAGAATCTAGAGAAATCAAGGCTGATGACAGAGACAGCAGCCAGCATGTGTGCATGAGCTATGATCCAGTGACTCTATACACAGTTGGGACCAGCAAGACAGACCCTACTCAGATAGAAGGAAAGATGGAGGGTGACTACCTCAGACCCAGCATCCCAGAGATCCTGCCTTGTGTGTATATGCAGTATTTTACTGGTGGAGTGGGGACTACCTCCATTTAGGTGACAAAGATCCTGACCATGGCTTCCCCAGAAAAGGAAAGAGGGAGGGGCATTTCTGTGACTTACTACCTAGCATGGCCTGACAGAGGCATTCACATAGCCTTGGATGGTCAAGAAACCCAATGTGAGTGCACCAATGAGAGGTCAGAGAAGGTGAACAAGGTTGTCTCCATCTTCCCCCCAGAGCCTAGACTCAGTCCAACCAGTCAGCACCTCTGATGTGCCAGGGCCCAGACTGTATCTGTTTGCATTAAAGAACAAAAAGAGTAGCCAGCACCCCACTTGTCCCTGGAAGGCCAGCATTGTTGTAAGCACTTTGTGTTTAAGCTCTGGTTTGCTTTTCTGGACAAACCCAGGGCCGAGCATAATGCCCTTGTCATTTCATTTCTGTAGTTGAGACAACGGGGAATTCACGTAATGTAGCTGAGTTCCCACAAAGTAGTCCCTAGTGTTGTCAGCTGCCAGGACTCAAACCTATACAGCTTGACCCAAGAGTCTGGACTTTGATGTCTACACAGCATTCCAAAATGTGGCCCCCTAAGTAGTATTTTATTGCTGGGGAAATGACTCAGTTGGTAGTGGTTGCCACCCAAGCAAGAGGACCTGGGTTTGATCCCCCAGGACCCACATAAAAATGGGAGAGGAGGATGAGAAGTGAGAGGGAGGGGAATGAGAGTTGGAGGGAGGACTGGGAGGGGCAGAAATGATGCCTGTCCCCAAGACGTATGAAATTCTCAAAAACATAAAAATTAGACGGATGATAGATATATAGATAGGCAGACACAGAGATACATATGGATGATCCAGAAGTGGTGGCACCAGCTTGTGATCTCAGCTCAAGGAGGCAGAGACAGGAAGATCCATGGGCCTGCTAGCCAGCCAGCCTAGTGCGATCAGAGAGCTCAGGTAAAAATGAAGAACTTTGCCTCAAGAAACAGGGTGGAAAGAGAAAGAGAAATACACATAAAGTTGACTGCTGTCCTACAAGTGCACACACACACACACACACACACCATTGCACAGACCCACACACATCCATCTTTACATAGATACACCCACACACATCCATCTTTACATAGATACACACACACACACACACACACACACACACACACACACGCACATTTTTTAAGTTAGTTTTATCGTGAGTATAACCCCTCTGCCCATCCAGGGCACAAGCGCTTTCTAGTCTGTGAGGACCAATCTGTGAGCTGCTGTGTCTTACATCCCCTGACTGAGGAGATTTCCCCCTATTGAAATAGCCCACTGGAAAGAATAAAACATGGGAATGTAAGAATGTTCACAAGAGGTAAACAGAACAGGGAGGAATCCTGTGGACTCACACACAGATGACTGGACAGCATTGGGAACCAGGAGTGGGGACTCAGAGATCTCCGCTCCCTCATCGGCTGGGGTGGGAGGAGGAAGCTCAGTAGGTAGGATAACACTGTGGCTGAGGGACAAGGTGTGGTGAGGTGCTCATAGATGAGGAAACACCTACGGCCTCTCTCCTCTGCTGTGTTTCAGAGCATGGGGCTGGTGCGGAAGAGCCTGACGGTGGGCTGGGCAGCTGTCATTTTGGTGCTACAGATGGCAGACGCAGAAACTGCTGGAAAGACCCCGTATGGCAAAGCTAGGGTGTTCGCAGGCTTAAGTGCCCAGGAACTGAAGTCCGTGCACAGCTTCCTGATGAACAGGAAGGAGTTGGAACTGAAGCCAACCAAGACACCGACTTTAGCCAAGAACTCCGTGTTCCTCATTGAGATGCTGCCGCCCAAGAAGAAGCACGTGCTGAACTTTCTGGATAAAGGGAAAAGGTGCCCTGTTCGGGAAGCCAGGGCCATCATCTTCTTTGGTGCCCAAGAGCACCCGAATGTCACTGAGTTTGCTGTGGGACCCCTGCCACGGCCCACCTACATGCGAGAACTGGCCCCCAGGCCAGGGCACCAGCTGTCCTGGGCATCCAGACCTATGTCCGCAGCAGAGTATGGCCTCCTGTACCACACCCTGAAGGAGGCCACCAAGCCTCTGCATCAGTTTTTTCTTAACACCACTGGTTTTTCACTCCAAGACTGTAAGGACCGGTGCCTGACTTTCACGGATGTGGCCCCCCGGGGCGTGGAGTCTGGCCAGCGCCGCAGCTGGCTCATCTTTCAGCGCTATGTAGAAGGCTACTTCCTGCACCCCACTGGACTGGAGGTCCTTGTGGATCATGGGAGCACAAATGTCCAGGACTGGAGAGTGGAGCAGCTCTGGTACAATGGCAAATTCTACAACAGCCCAGAGGAACTGGCTAGGAAATATGAGGAAGGAGAAGTGGACACAGTGGTCCTCGAGGAACTACTTCCCAAGAGTACAGAGCAACCACCACTCTTTTCCTCCTACAAGCCCCGTGGGGAATTTCCCCATCCCATCACTGCGGCTGGCCCCCACATGGTTCAGCCCAATGGTCCCCGATACCAACTGGAGGGTAACACTGTGCTCTACGGAGGCTGGACCTTCTCCTTCCAGTTGAGATCCTCTTCTGGGCTGCAGATCTTTGACGTGCACTTCGGGGGTGAGCGTATTGCATACGAGGTCAGTGTGCAAGAGGCTGTGGCCCTGTATGGAGGACACACACCTGCGGGCATGCAGACTAAGTATATTGACGTCGGCTGGGGCATGGGAAGTGTCACTCATGAGCTGGCACCTGGCATCGACTGTCCAGACACAGCCACCTTCCTGGATGCCATCCACTACTATGACACTGATGGTCCTGTCCACTACCCACGGGCCCTCTGTGTCTTTGAGATGCCCACAGAGGTGCCCCTTCGGCGCCACTTTAACTCCAACTTTAAAGGTGGCTTCAACTTCTATGCAGGGCTGAAGGGATACGTGCTGGTGCTGAGGACCACCTCAACAGTCTACAACTATGATTATGTTTGGGACTTCATCTTCTACCCTAATGGGGTGATGGAGACCAAGATGCACGCCACTGGCTATGTTCATGCCACCTTCTACACGCCCGAGGGGCTGCGCCACGGCACTCGCCTACACACACACCTGCTTGGCAACATCCACACACACCTAGTGCACTACCGTGTGGACCTGGATGTGGCAGGTAAGACTCAGGATAAGACCCTCCCAAGTCATTCAGCTGTTTCTCTTGAATGAGTTCACGCCACAGGAAAAGAGCTAAGACTCCCTGAATTAAATCAGCCGCATTCCTTCCATCTGTGTCCTGTCAACATTAAATAATACATGCCCCTGAAACGTGGAGGTAGTAAACAAGGCCCTAGACTTACCCTGTATGTGGGGTGTGCTTCTGCCCTTGCCTGGTGCAGGGTAGGTTGATGTGCATGTAGCAAAGAAAACGTAAAGTGCCCAGGTGACTAACAAATTACACTGCCTAGCACTTTGATACCTGACATCAAATCTGATCACAGAACAAGGCCACCAAGACCAGATGAGTGACCTCCATCTTCGCAGCTGGTTATAGATGTGGTTTATGATGGAGACCTTAAGGAACAGGAAGGTTCCTGTTTCGATATTGACTCTCGCTGTCCTTTTCCTCTCGTGACTCTAGACACCAAGAACAGCTTCCAGACACTGCAGATGAAGCTGGAGAACATCACCAACCCCTGGAGTCCGAGACACCAGCTGGTCCAGCCCACACTAGAGCAGACACAATACTCCCGAGAGCGCCAGGCTGCCTTCCGCTTCGGTCGGACTCTGCCCAAGTACTTGCTCTTCAGCGGCCCTCAGAAGAACCGCTGGGGCCACAAACGCAGCTATCGCCTGCAGATCCACTCCATGGCTGAGCAGGTGCTGCCCCCAGGCTGGCAGGAGGAGCAGGCTGTCACCTGGGCCAGGTGAGGAGACCTAGGGGACTGGGGAAGAGGGGCTGGGGAGCCCCTCAGTAACTCTGACTGCCTGTGCTTCTGTCTTCCAGACCAAGTCTGTGTGTGACTGTGGGTCTACTCTTATGCACTTGAGAAGGGAAGGGAAGCATTCATGGGGTTCCTGGCCCTTGGATATTAAAGGGAAGCTTTGTAGAATTCAAGGAAATAATAATCATTCTGAGGAAACAGCAACTTGTCCATCCTTGGCCCTAAGGATGTTCCCTTGGAGGGGCTCAGAAGCCCCTGAGCCACCTGGCTTCGTCTCTTCTCTGCAGGTACCCCTTGGCTGTGACTAAGTACCGGGAGTCAGAGCGATACAGCAGCAGCCTCTACAACCAAAACGACCCCTGGGATCCCCCTGTGGTCTTCGAGGAGTTCCTTCAGAATAATGAGAACATTGAAGGAGAGGTACTGGCCCGGTCCCCACTGCCTACCACAGGCCTGGTAGTCCCCGAAGTTTGGTGGGGTTTTTAGTATATGGGAAGTTGAAGGGTCACGGTAGATCTTCCCACCTCTTTTATGGGATTGAGGACATCTCAGGAAGTTTGTGGACACATCTGACAAAGCCCCAAGCATCTGGTAGTCAACACAACCCCGCCCACTGAGACCTGTGTCTCTCCTATAGGATTTGGTGGCCTGGGTGACAGTGGGTTTCCTACACATTCCCCACTCTGAGGATGTCCCCAACACAGCCACACCTGGGAACTCTGTGGGCTTCTTGCTCCGGCCCTTCAACTTCTTCTCAGAGGACCCATCTGTGGCATCCAGAGACGCCATGATTGTGTGGCCCCAGGACCAAGGCCTCAACCATGTCCAGCGCTGGATCCCTGAGGACAAGGACTGTCTAAAACCCCCTCCTTTCAGCTACAATGGTACCTATACTCCTATGTGAAGGGTCCTAGCTTAACCTCTGTGGAACAGCCCCAGAGCCCCACAAGGACAGGCAGTAGACCCTTCAGTTTCTACCCTGTCTGCTGCTTCTTGGAGGCAGGGGAGCGCATGGGCCACACACACAGGTGGGTGGACTTGGGCTCCTCTCATGATTGTCTACTGCACCCAAAAAAGACCTCCATTTCTGGAGGTCTGGATTTCTCTATCAAATAAATTGTTCAGTATCTAAGGCTTTCAGCTCCCTCCAGGGAGGGGAATTCTCCCTCATCGGTGATCAGCATGCATGAGGAAGCCACAATGCGGGTATCCAATGAAAGGACCAATGCCCTTGCCCTTTGGACACTGCTTCAGTATCTAGAGTTTACCCCATGATCTCTCTATAAATACAGCAAACATATAGCGTATGCTGATGTGCTGCAGTCTAGTCTGCAAAAATGAAAAATCTAGGGGCAGCCAAGACCAATGGGTTAGTGAAAGTTTCCAACCTCCTCTTCTTCACAAAGAAAGGAAGGTTGTGAGTGGCTGGCGTAGATGAACATTTTAGGACAGCTCAGAAGAGTACAGAGTTATAAACCAGAGGGCAATCAGCTACTGTGAACGCTGTGCTGGAGGGCATGTGGAAAAAGAGAGAGACTTGCCACTCAACCACAGCGAGAGATTGAGACTGAAAGACAACACTCTACATTCTCTCTCCTTTGTTTCCTAGCTGTCTGACAGTACTGTGCGTGCTGTGGGGCTCAGTGGTACTTGAGAGGAAAGGCAGTCAGAGCAGAGCTCACAGGTGCATAGGATGGGACACCGACAAGGTTGACCGGGAAGGATCTAGAGCAGGGGACAAGGGTTGTGTGAGGGATGGGAGAAAGGAAGACGGGCCTGGAAGAGCAAGAAGCCAGAGCAAGTGCCAGAATGCCACTCCAGGACACCCTGGGGAGACCGAGAAGGGCCCTGTGAGGAGGTGGGCTCTGGGAAGCAGACATGCCTGCCTTCTGCAGCCAGGAGTGTCACTGCTTCCAAGCCCTGTTTTGACTTCTGCAGCTCCAATGTCGTTGTGCCCCTCCCCCACTACCCACTTTCCATCAGAACAGAGCATGCTAAATCTCTCTTCCATACCTCCCTCCTTCTGGGCAAAACAAAAAGACATTTGTGGATTAAAAAATAATAATAATAAGAGGTTAGAAGTAAAGGCTGTGGCAGCACTGGAAACGCACTGTCTACCGGAGAGTCCAGTCCAAGCTTCTGGAAAAGACAGTGGTTGGCAGCAGTGGAAGCACTGGGGAGGGAGGAATGAACACGGGGCTGTGCAGGACTTGGGATGCTGAGAGTCCTTTTTAATACTGCTGTGGCAGGTGCCTGTCATTACATATGTGCCATGCATGTCCTGGATGTACGCCATGTGTACGCCATCCTGCTATTCACTATGGACTGTGGGAGGTAATGGTGTCCTTGTGGTTCAGCAGTTGTCACTATGGATCACACCGGTGGATACTGGGGGGAGGGGCTCATGAGGGTTCAAGGGATATAGGGCAGAGCTCTATATCTCCAGCTCAAAGTTTGCTACAACCCTAAAACCTCTAAAAATGAAGTCTATGACCCATCAACACTATATCATGGGTGGGAAAGGGGCTCATAAGGCCCATCCCTGGGCAAGTAGCTTTAGGTAGTCAATGATTTTTGAGGGAAAGGGAGTTATATTCATCAGTGGTATAACCACTGGTAAGCTGCCTGTGCTCAAGTAAGTAATCCACAACCCATGCTCAGGAAAGCAACTTAATTAAATGTTATAGGCTACAAAAAAAGAGAAAGGCTCACCTCTGTCTGCTTCCCTGGGCCTGCACAACCCACAGCCTCTCTCTGGGGTAAGTCAATATCGCCCTCCATGCCTTGACTCCCCCAGCCTCATTCACCCTCCAATCTCCCCCACAGGTCTCTCCTCTTAGCATGGGTCCTGTCCCATTCCTTCTCTTGGTGCCCTAGATACCAGGGGAACCACGACTGCTTACTGATCCTTTGCATCCAGACAAACCCAGTTCCTTCTGGGGTCCCCAGGAGCACTCTGGGCCTGGCCCCACCCTCGCCTCCCTCTGCTTCCCTGGGCTGCACAACCCACCAGCCTCTTTCCTGGATGCTGGGGCTGACCTTTCTTCTTCCTAATCCTTTGCATCCAGGCCAACCTAGCTCCTCAGTGCAGTCCCCAGGAGCCCTTGGGGCCACTTCCCACCCCCCATCTTCCTTTGCATCTCTGGGTGGCACAGCCATCAGCTGCCCTAGACCAGCATCTTTCCTGGGCCCGGCTCCCAGGCCAGTCCAACCCCCAAATTGCTGAGGCCAAAATCTTTCCTGGAGAGGATCCAAGACTGTAGGAAAAAGCCTGAGAGCATCTGATCCTCATCTGACTTGGGCCTCTCTGGGAACTCCTGAAGATAAAAGCAATCTGGCCACTCCAATATAAAATCAAAACAGAGAACTGGAATCTTAGAGGAACCAGCTATTCATGCCCAAAAAGTAAACCACAAAGGCACATAAAGTTCACAAAAAGAAGCAGATCTAAACTCAACAAAGGAAGGTTTGAGTCTCACATAAGAACCAGAATCTACAAAAGAAATCCACATGTCAAAGTCACAGAGAAAAAATAACAACATGAAAAACCAAGATAATATATCCCCATCAAGTACCAATAGTTCTCTAGAGGACTACAATGAGAACATCCTAGAGATAACATGGGACTTGGTACTCAACAGAACAATTATAAACATGATAAAAGAATTCAGTGAATTTAAAGAACACACAA